CCAGAGTTACACAGCTAGTAAGTGTTTGAGACCAGCTTTGAACCCAGGTCTTCTTGACTCCAGTTCTAGATCCACTGAATCATCTAGCTCTCTTGTGTTACATAGTACAACAATATAATATCGTAAGCAGATTATTGTGGCCTTACTTGGACACCTAACCACAACTTACAATATTTTTTTGGGGGAAAATTCATTTCAAATTGCAAACAGGTAGTTATAATAACATAATCCTTTAAAGCAGGCATTCTTAACCCTCTTTGTGGCATGGACCCCTTTGGCAGTCTGGTGATACTTATGGACCCCTTCTCAGAATGTTTATAAATGCATAAAATAAAGTACATCAAATTACAAAGGAAACCAATTTTATTAAAATAGTTGTCAAACTATTTTACTTTAAAAAATTTTTGTAACTTTGAAATAAGCACCTAATTTAGTTTTGTTATGCAGATATCAAAAGAGCAATAAAATGTACTTTTAAAAGAAGGCAGTCAAATTGTGGCTCAAACATTTCACTTATTAGCTGAGAGGCCTTAGATAAGTCACTCAACTTTTTTTGTGCCTCAGTTTTCTTATCTGTAAAATAAGAATAATGATGCTTACATGACCCTTTTCATAGGGTTGCTGTGCAAAAAATGCTTTGTAGACCTTAAATTAATATATAAATGTGGGCTGTTTTTATTTATTTTGATCTTCACAGAAACAGTTTTCTTTTTTTCTCAGCACATACCAGCGACATATCAGAGACACATAACATAGCAGAAACAGGACTTACAGAAATATATTAACTTTAATAGCTAGCATTTAAATAGTGTTTTAAGGTTTGCAAAACACTTTATAATTATTATCACATTGGATCATCACAAGAAACCTGGGAAGTAGGTCTTATTATTACCTTGGTATTACAGATAAAGAAACTGAGGAAGACAAAAGTTAAGAGACTTGCCCAGATCACAGAGCTAGTTAGTGTCTGTGGAGGGGTTTGAACTCAGGTCTCCCTGACTCCAGACCTAGTGCTGTAGCCACTGCTCCCCACCTAATTGACTAACTTGTATAGGAATATGATGCCAGTGTGAACTGAAAATTTTCTATGGGTAAACTGCAAAGTAGATAAATCATAACCAAATAAATAAGTGTTGACAAGGTATTTCATACATGTTTTGGGAGGGAAAGGAGAACCCCTTTTTGAAATATGTAGAATTCCAAAGCATTTATAAAAATTTTCTATTTAATAACATGTCATCTTTAAATCATAGTATGTTTTTATTTTAATAGATGATGATTCAGGGAAATCTGTTCTTCCCAGGTTGTTTTGGCCATGGCTATTACTTTCACAGAACATATGTCTGGTAGTCTCCTCCGTACCCAAAAGGGAATCCCCTTTGCAATACTTCCCCAAAAGTTGCCACCTCACCTGAATGATAGAGAACCCACTACCTTGGCAACTCTAATTGTTAGGAAGTTTTTCTTTGCATCAAGTCTAAATTTATCTTGTATGTATTGTGTTATATTTTATTATTTTTGAGGGAGGGCTATTTTATTTATTTTAAAATACTTTTCAATGATCTCTTTTGTCTTTATGTCACTGTGATTTTTGGAAAAGGAAAAAAAATACTATGGAACTCCCCCTCACCGAATTAACCCTCCTTTATTACAACTAAAATCAATTAGGCAAAAATAGCCAACACAAGGACCATCTCTGACATTGTATATAACATTCTGTCCTGGCAGTCCCTCATTAATAACACACACACACACACACACACACACACACACACACACACACACACACACACAATTGGGCATAGAAATCTCTCTTACTCTACAGGAAAACAGAAGGGATTAAGACTAGGGGGGATGCTAATAGAAGAGAGAGCAGATTGAAGGAGGCAATAATTAGAAGCAAAACATTTTTGAGGAGGGAGAGGATGAAAGGAGAGAGAATAGAATAAATGGGGGAGGGGAATAGGATGGAGGGAAATAGAGTTAGCAATCATAACTGTGAAAACATTTTTGAAGCAAGTTTCTTTGATAAAAGCCTTATTTCTCAAATATATAGAGAAATCAGTCCAATATATAAAAATAAGAGCCATTCCCTACTAGTCCTTCATTTCTCTGTGAAGTGGAAGCTATGTTTCATTATTTATCTTCTAGGACCTTCATTGTTTTTTTTTTTTTTTAATTACTTAGAGTTCTCTTTAGTGACTTCATGTGTGTAGTTTTATTCATTGTTTCTTTTGGTTTTGTTTATTTCACTCTTCAGGTGGAGCAGTTTCTATATGACCCTTAAATATGACCATATAGACCCTTGAATACTTAAAGACTGTGCTCCTGTCTCTCCCTCAATCTTGTGTTTTACCAGTTTTTTACCAGTTCTTTCACCGATTTTCTTATGACACAGTCTTGAGTCCTCCCAACACAGCCATTGCCCTTCTCTGGATACATTGCTGTGTATTGTAAAATGTGGTGCCCAGGATACACAAACACAGTCTGAGGAAGAGTTCAGTGGGATTACCATCTCCCTCATTCTCTAATCTATTATTATAGTTTAAACTTGAATTATCATTATTATTACTATTTTTGGTTGCCATGTCACACAAGTCTTGGCCCATTGAATTTGGCACGGAATTCTAATACCCTCAGTTCTTTTTTTATAAGCTGTTATCTGATCACAACTGTTTCATCCAGTATTTATGCAATTATTTTTTTTGAAGTCAAGGATAGAACTTTATATTTACTCTTATTAAATTATAACTTATTGTATTTTACAATCATACTAGCCCGTCACAATCTTTTTAGACCCCGACTCTAAATTAGCTATCACTCCCAACTTTGTTTCAACTGCAGATCCAAGTCATTGATAAAAATATTGAATAACAGAAAGCCAAGGAGAGATATCGGCATGCTCTGCAAGAGATCTCCTTCTAGGTCGACACCTGTCCGTTAATGACTACTCTTTGGGTTTTGTCATTCAACTGATCCCTAATCTACCTCACTCACATTCCTCCATCTTGCCCACAAGCATATTAGGAGAGACTTTGTCAAATGTTTTGCTGAAATCCAAGGAGACTGCAGCTATGGAATTCTTCTGATCTCTAAGTTTAGTAACTGCCAAAAAAGAAAATGAGTTTAGCCTGCAATGATCTATTGTTGATGAAACTATGATGGGTCTTAGTAGTGATCTTTCCCAAATGCTCGTAAACCATCCTTTTAATAACATGTTGCAGATTTTTGATGAGAATTACAGCTAAGCTCCCCAGCCTCTTGTTTTTAGACTCTACTCTTTTTCCTTTTTGGAAGATCAAGACATTTGCTTGTTGCTGCCCTGTGGTACCTGACCGATTATTGTCTGAATTTTATTTTTTTCAGGGATCAAAGACAGTGAGTCAGCAAGCATAACTGCTAGAGCTCTTTTACTTCCCTAGCTTGTAGTTCATCCAGGTCTGCTAACTTGAACTCACTGAGGGCAGCAACATAGTTATCATTTATATCTTATCATTTTCTCATTTGTTTTTGGTGCTAGCTCCATGTTGTCTCTTTTTTTGTTCTGTTCTTTCTAGTATGAAGCTAATTTTCCCTGGTAGAGAAAACAGAAGCAAAATTAGACTTTGAATGCCTTTCCTCCATTACCTGTTATCACTGTCCCATTTAACTGGATTATAGGCTCAATTCCTTCTTTAATCTTCCTTTAGCCCCCAAAATGACTGAAAAAAATCCTTTTTTTGTTGTCCTTAGCATTCATCACCAGCTCTATTCATCCCAAGTTTTGGCATTCCTGACACTTCTTACAGGACCACATTATACTTTTGTCTTCATCCTCTATTACCTTGTCCTTGTTTCTACGTGTCATTTAAAAATTTAAGCTGGTTAATGAGTTCCCAGAGTATGTATATACATGTCTCTTAAAACTTATATGTCTTATAAAAACTTGTAAAACTCTTGAAAGCTCCCTCTCTGATGTTTTCTTTCTTTTTCGGTGATCTCCCACATTTTATTCTCCAGAGTTCCTTGTCTCTCTGGGTTTATTTAATGCTGTGGCAAGATTTGCTCCTAATCCGTGAAGGTGAAAAGTGTTGCAAGCTTTCTTGAGTGTTTTTAAGTTGTTGAATATTTAACTTTTCTGGGAAAAAAAGATCCCCACAAGCAGTTTGTTATTAGTGAATGGTAATTATGAATTGCTGAACCTGTTGGATTTGGCAGTAAAAAGCATATGTGAATGAAAAAACTCACCGCACGTGGCCCAAACTTCATTGTGCAGTGATAATGGGCTTGAACAGTGACTGGAATGTAACCAAGGGGCAGAATGACTACTTCCATTGTGATTCATTGGCCAACTGCTTAGAATTATAATATCCACCGGGTAGATGCTAGTTTGAGGTTTTAAGGGAAAAAAAACTCTCTGGTTTCTTTTCCAGCTTTTCGAGCTTGTGTTTTATTGAAATGATACCTAACAAGATTCTTTTTAATTGAAATTTTGAATTTTGTCCCCGAGAGGCAGTGTTGAACGATGCAGAAGAGATTTGGGGTCAAAACACTTGGGTCCAAAACCTATCGCATACTATCTTTATAACTCTGGCCAAGTCGCCACCTCTCTCAGCCTCAGTTTCCTAATCTGTAAAATGAGTGGATTGGAATAGAAGGCCTCTAAGGGCCTATACCGGTTTAAATCTATGAGCCTATAATATCTTTGCTGGTGACCCCTCTAATAAAGAACTTTGAGAAGAACCATTTCTATCTGTGTAGTCCTACTTGGTTGAAAAGGAAAGACACCCAGTAAACCAGGTCATTGTGAGTGGGAGGAGTATTTTGTGAAGTAGCATACATTACAGAGCCAAGGTGGTGTCTGCCCGGGCTCTGAAGATTGTTTGTGACAAGCAGCAGTGGTAACACTTTTTTTTATTAGAGATTTTCCACAGTTTTTTACAATCTCTTTTAATATACGTCAGAGATTATAGGGACTGTTTTGTTTAAAGGGAGACTCATATCCGTGTTTACCTTTGCAGGTGATCCTCTCTGGAATCATAGGACTAACAACATGGAAAAGACCGATGATACTTTTGGTATGTAGTAATTTTACAAACTGTAAAGGGGGTTTAAATGTACTGTTAAAAAGAAGTCAGTTCTGATATAAAATTAACATTTGTAAAAGAGTTAAATTGCCTTTCTCTCTCTCTCTCAAAAAGGAGTGGTGCTAACAAAGGCAAAATATTGTTATCTTGCTTGTTCATGGAAATATGAGTCATGTCAAACATTTCATTTTTTTTTTTGCTTTTTGTTTTGTTTAAACAATAAAACAGGCTACAGCACTTTCCAGCACTGGGGATTTACTTAGGTCTTCTTGCATAGCTAGTGACAAATATTTTTAGTCTTAATTCTGCCAGTGAATCCATTCTGCTTTTTAGGCACTCTTCTCCCAGTTGTACGGAGTACATAATTTACAGGTACTTTGATAGTAGATGGGTCTGTATTCTCATTGGTATGGGTGCTTTCTCTTTATCTCTTCATTCCATATAGTTCTTCTCTATAGGATCTTCTATAAATCCTCTTTAGAGATTCTATTTAGTACTTAGAGGCCTTTCTCTTATTCTTTTAACTAACATATGTTGACTTAACACTCATTAACTGCCTCAAGCCCTATAATACCACAAACCCCTCTCCCCCCATGAAATTCATTGTCATTTGAAGGAGCTTGGTTTAACTACTTCTCCTGGAAAAACAAAATGGATGAAAAATGCATATTGCTGCTATGATAACATGCAGTTGGAGTTAGTCCAACAACACGTACAACCTGAACAGGTGTTGTTGCTGTTCAATGCTTTGGACCCAGAATCCTATAGGAGGAGGAGATCAAAATGGATCATATTTGGGAACTAATGCAGGTCCTTCGGTAATCCTAAACAGTTCACAGATGCAAAAGTCATCTTTTGAAAATAATATTCTTCGGGTGACAGAATGTAGCTGCAAATTTTGGAATGCCATGATTTCAGATGAGTCAAAATTGTGGGTTGCCCCAAAGGTAATGGGAAAAAGGTTGTGTGCAGGCATAATTTACACGGAAAAACGTATCATAGAAGATATATCTGGGCTAGTCATTTAGTGAGAGTAGGGAAGAATATTTGGACAGCCACTGGAAGAGCTATAACTTGGAATTCCAGTGCCTGAGTCAAATTCAATTTTTCTGGATCCCAGTGAACCACTGAGTTGACATGGGTGCCAGGTGTTAGACCAGAGGCCCACCCTGCGGAGGAATTGTATTCCTGAATGTTAGTGTCTTGGAGCAAGCTCCATCTTCCAGCAACTGGTACTGTTAAATGCTTGGCAATGTTAAAAGAACCCATGGATGGCTTTCCAATGGGAGAGATGATTTACAGATGTTGTTCAGTTGTTTCAGTCGTGTCCAACTCTTCATGTCCCCATTTGGGGTTTTCTTGGCAAAGATAAGAGAATGGTTTGCCATTTCCTTCTTCAGCTCATTTTATAGATGAGGAACTGAGGCCAACAGGGTTCAAGGCTCTTGCCCATTACCACACAACTAGTAAGTGTCTGAGGACACTTTAAACTCAGGAAGATGAATCTTCCTGATTCCAGAACCTGGGCTCTATCCACTGCACCACCTAGCTTCCCCCTGATTTACAGAAAGAGATAGACAAAATTATACAAGATAAGAAGGTGTAAAGGGGTTATAATCTGTGCAAGTGGAGGAAGCAATCAGATTGATGGAATCATGGATCTAAATAAAATCAAAGTATACCAAAGACAGTCAGTACACCATTTTAAAGGGCAGAAGCATATTGTACATATTGATTCATGTAGCAAACATTTGATCCATTGCATTCAACGTGAAAGGCACTGGGCCAGGTGCAGTGTCAGTACGGAGGTGAATAAAATGTGGTGCCTGATCTCAAATCCTTATAATTTAGTAGGCGAGATGTAGATCCACAGGTCACTAAAATGTATGTGTAATTCATTAGAAGTGTTCTTTCTAGTGTTAGAAGACAGCTGGGTGGCGAAGTGGATAGAGCACTGGACCTGGGGTCAAGAAGATCTTGAGTTCAAATGTAGCCATAGACACTTATTAGCTGTATGACCCTGGGCAAGTCACTTAACCTCTGTCCATCTCAGTTTCCTTAGCTGTAAAACTGGATAATAACAGCACCTACCTCTCAGGGTTGTTAAGAAAATAAAATGAGGTGATATTTCTAAAGCATTAGCAAACCTGGAAGCACTCTATCAATGACATCTATCATTATAATTATTATAAAACATGATAAGTAATTTTAGTCATGTACTCCAAAGAAATTTAGCATAAATTTGCTACATGTAGTATTTTTAATAAAAGACTCTCTGATGATTTGGGGAAGAAAATACATTGCTTATTTTATCTTATTTTTCCTATTTGGGTCATTTGGCAGCTAGTAATAGACTTTATATGTGAGTGTGTTCCTTTAGGCTTCTCTTCTAACACTTGTTTCTGTTTTCCAGAACTTTGTTTTCATTCCTCAGTTAATTCACAGTTGTTAGGTTGCTCTCACACACACATACACACACACACACACACACACACACACACACACACACACACACACACACACACACACACACACACCCATCCCCCCTTCTAAGGGCTCTTTTTGGGGGCAGTTCTTGGTAGCACACCATTCTAAGCGCTTGATCACCCTTTACTGAAGAACACTTATATGCCTGCTCCCTCTTTGATCATTGTTTCAGTGATTACATCAGGCTTCTTACTGTGTATGAACAAAGGAGGGTCAGTTTGACCTAGTTTCTTTAAACTCAAGTTTATTTGAAAACTTCAAGAACTGGAAATTCACACTAAGCCTCTATTCCTCATACAGATTAAACCTTTCATCTTATTGTATTTAAACACAGTAAGGATTAATATGTTTATAAGAATATATTTAGTTCCATTTGGATTTGAGCTAGGTTTTAGAGAAAGGTATTTGGGGGGGGGGTGTGTGTGTGTATGTGTTTTTAGGGGGAACATTCTAGGGTATTTTTCCCCACTGAGATCAGATATTCTGTATTTTTTTTCTTCAAAAGTTTTGTGTATGGGGGTAGGTAGGTGGTGCAGTGGATAGAGTACCGGCCCTGGTCAGGAGGACCTGAGTTCAAATCTGGCCTCAGATACATAACACTCACTAAATCACCAGCTGTGTGACCCTGGGCAAGTCACTTAACCCCAATTGCTCACCAAAAAAAAAAGTTTTATGTATTGTTTCTAGAGGTTATTCTTGTAAAGGATCTTAGAAATTAGAACTTTAGGGCTATCATCATCATCTCTAGCCTTTGGAAACTGAGGCTGAGAGTTGTTAAATGACTTGCCCAGGGTGACACAACCAGTAAGTATCTAAGGTAGAATTTGAACGTAAGTCTCCCCTGACACCACCTTTAATGCTCTATCTACTCTTACCTAGCTGGAAGGTCGTTTAGTAATTGTTGACTTTAACCCCTTCATTTTCCAAATGTCACCTTGAGATGCACAACCCTATTGCTTCTTGGTTGATTTTGAGGGGCTAGGATTTGGTGGGGATATTTACTCTGAAAGCCTACTTTAATGCTGCCTTTTTGAAGTTATATACCACTTAGTAGGTACTTTTTAAATTAAGTATTATTATAACTTTTTTTCTGGCTCACTTTGGAGCAACTGAGTTGGGAATAGGCTTAATCTCAAAACAAATGGAGAAACCACAATCATTCATTTTACTCTCAGAAATTCTGTCCAATAGCTCTTCTGGGTCATAGTTCAGGTATGTTATTTGTTCTAGTTTACTGGCCCTATTGACTTAACATCTCATGCTGCTGAAGGGATTGGCTAAATGTTTAAACCAGTTCAGTTCAGCTGACATTTTATTAAGTACCTGCTACAAGCAAGACATTGGTGATGGTCTAGCCCAGGGGTGGGGAACCTGCAGCCTCAAGACCACATGTGGCCCTCTAGGTCCTCAGTGCGGCCCTTTGACTGAATCCAAACTTCACAGAACAAATCCCCTTAATAAAAAGATTTGTTTTGTGAAACTTAGAGTCAGAAAGAAGGCTGTGCCCAATGACCTAGAAGGCCCCCACCCCACCAACCTGGAGTTGTTATTATCCAAAAGGGAGAACAAATGAAAAACATTCTTTTGATGGTAGAAGAAGAATCTCAGAAATAAACTAGTCCATTTACATCTAGTCCCAGAAATATACCTGAACACACCATTAAATATCGCAGAATGAACTTTAGAGCTAGAAGAGACTAACGTGGCCATTGAGTCCAACTTCTTCCTTTGAAAGATGAAGTAACCAGGTGGCGCGGTTGATAGAGCCTTGGCCCTAGATTCAGGAGGACCTGAGTTCAAATCTAGCCTCAGACATTTATTGGCTGTGTAACCTTGGGCAAGTCACTTAACCTTGTGTGCCTCAGTTCCTCATCTCTAAAATGAGCTGGAGGAGGAAATGGTAAACCACTCCTTTATCTTTGCCAGGAAAACCCCAGAAGAGTGGGGCACAACTAAAACAACTCAACAACAACAACAACAAAGCAGAAGTTCTAAGTGACTTGCCTGAGGTCACCAGCTAGTTAATGACGGAGGAAGATTTGAACTCAGGTCTTCCTGACTCCATGTCCAGCATTTCTACCCACTGCACCAACTAGCTGCCATTAGAAGATTTAGAAAAGATCATAACACACTGAAATCAAGGGGCAGATGACTGTACATTACAAATTCTGTCCAACTGAATCTCATTTCCTCTTTCCTCTGTCATTATCCTCTGTCCTCTATGGTATATGCCTGGCATATTAGTAGAAAACATGAGGTTTTAACTAACACTTTTATTCTCACTATCAGTGTCTGAAATCTGGCCTAGAGGCTTCCTAAGTCTTCATTTACTGGGATTTCTTCGTGCAGTACAGAAGCTTCATAGCTCTCTCCTTCATTCCATACATCCATTCAATTGCAAGTGGCGTCAATTCTACCTTCATATTCTTTATCATGTCTGTCTTCCCCTCATCCCTCCCACAGGGACCACTCTTTTTCAGGGCCTCAGCTCTTCTCACCTTGCT